CAAGGGGCTTCTGCGTGCTACACCCCAGTAGGATTTGCTCTGAAAGGTCTTCTTAAGACATTTGATTATTTAAGGAGCTAGTCAGATTACTCCCAGGAGGAGCTTTTTGGAACACAGAGTTCCTGGACATCAGGACAGAACACAACGTATTCTGTTGCCTTTTACCCTTTTACCAGGGCGATGATGTAGTGGGTGTCAAATCTAGTTTCAAACCCCCCCTTAAGCAGGGAGCTCAGTGCTTGAACGGCCTGGGCCAAATTGTGGGGATCTCGATTCAACCTTCCCATGCAGGATTACTGCGGGAGTAACTGTGGGAAACCCCTCTGTATGCTGCCTCTGATCTGCTAAGGGTTTAACAAGACCTGGTATTTCCCACCCAATATATCCAGGTTTTCAAACCCCACAAACAGGGCAGACCCACACCATACATCCAAAGCACATTTGAAGCATGTGGCTTCCCCACAAGGCTTTGTGGGAAATGCAGTTCCCCCAACAGCGCTGCATTTCTTAGCACCCTTAACAAAGTACAGCTCCCAAGATTCCTTGAAGGAAGCCATGTCCTTTATATGTGTGCTGGATGTGCTTTGAATGTATGGTGTGGGTGTACCCTGAAACACACCACTGCACTTCTAACGTGCAAGTCGCAACCTTCCTTCTTCAGTCCTACGAGTTCCACTATGATTTCTCCACTGTACAGTGAAAAAAATAGGACTCCCATCTGAGATATCTGCTATTAATTTCAAACAGTGGGGGCAAACAAAAGGGGAGGTCCGTTGCCTTCATGCTCAACTTGCGGGCTTCCAAAGGCATTTGGCTGGCTCCTGTCAGAACGCAGGAAGCTGCCTTGGACTAAGCTGGACCACTGGCCCATCTAGCTTAGCACTGTCTACACCAGCACTTCCCAACCTGGTGCCCTCTAGCTGCGCTGCACTGCTTTCCCATTTGAAGAATGATCTTCCCAGGGACGTATGCCTGGAGCCATCACCCTCTGTTTCTAGGCTGGGGCAACCCAGCCAAATGGGCAGGTATAAATAAGAAAATTATTATTGTTAAATCAGCTATGATTAAATGGGCACACAGGATATTGGGCCATGACATTTATGTCTGCTGACTGGGAACAGGTTATGGACCACCGGTATTAAGTTCTACGGCATGCAATGCCTTAAAGGAAAACATTATGAAAATGGTTTATAGGTGGTACATGACCCCAGTCAAGCTGGCAAAAATTTATCATTTGCCCGATAACAAATGTTGGAAATGTAAAGAGACTGAAGGTACCTTCTATCACCTTTGGTGGACATGCCCGAAGATTAAGGCTTTCTGGGAAATGATCTATAATGAAATGAAAAAGGTACTTAAAAGTACTTTCCCTAAAAAACCAAAGGCCTTTCTCTTGGGCATTGTCGGCCAATTGGTGTCAAAGAGGGATAGAACTTTTTTTATGTATGCTACAACAGCAGCAAGAATACTTATCGCAAAGTATTGGAAGACACAAGATCTACCCACTCTGGAAGAATGGCAGATGAAAGTGATGGACTATATGATACTGGCCGAGATGACAGGCAGAATCCGTGACCAAGGAAAAGAGACGGTGGAAGAAGAATGGAGAAAATTCAAAAGTTATCTTAAGGACTATTATAAACTTGATGAATGTTAGAGTGTTATGGTTTTCAGGAACAAAGGGATACAGTGATATAAGGTCAGATTACAGAGATAACTAAGGGCAGAGGTTGGAAAGTAACAATTGGGAGTTGCTATAAAACTATGGACATCGGGATGCAGAAAGGGGGGGGGTATGGGGGAGTCTCAGAAAAGAGGTTTATGAAAAACATTATGAAATTATACGTGTTTTTATGTCTTTTTAAGTGTTTGTTTGTTCTTAAAATTTTGTAAAACTAATAAAAAAAATTTCAAAAAAAAAAAAAAGGAAAGGTTGTTTTGTGTATTGAGCTGGAGGCAAAAGTATGGTTTCGTGACCTTCTCATTTCCCCTCCCTACAGTGCAAAAAGCCATGCACATTGCAGAAGACAGACATATCCTGGAAGGGGAGAGAGCAATTCTTAGAGATTTCTCCATTTGAAAGATGACTTTTTACTTGTGTTTCTTTCTCCCTAAATTTTCATTTTTCTTTTTTGGTACTGTTCAGACATATGGGTTTTTGAGTGCAGTATGAGCGCCGCAACCCCAGAGTCGTTTGTGACTGGACTTAACTGTCAGGGGTCCCTTTACCTTTACCTTTTAATGATACTTTGCCACAAGTGCATCAGTTGCCAGCTAGCTATACACAAGTCCTAATTTATCTGGCTGCAATTGTGTATCAGTGAATGACCCATCTAGGAGGGGGCAATATCTCAGTGGAAACAGTTCCGGTTCTTCTCATGGATTTTTTTTCCCCTTTCAAAGACAAAACTTCAGTGCAAAAAAAGACACTGTCTACCTGAACTAATAGAGCTTGCAATATAAAAATCTCACAGCTGAGTAATTTTGATTCCCGCCCAACTAGAGGTAAAAGAATCCGTGTAAACCTATTCATTTTGGTCTTTCCTCAGACACTGGAGAGCTCACTAATCAAGTAGCTGCTTCTGAAAGCACAAATATTTAAGTAGGATTAAATCTAATCTTCTTAACAGGAGAAAAATACTGAAAGGAGAGAAACCATAAGCTGAGCATTGTGCACAGGCAAGGGAGACAGAAAGGCAATCATTCTTCTTTACTGAAAAGAGGCCTTAGCATTTTTCTTTCTCCTTTTTTGAGCAACCCCTGTCCTAGGTGTTCCAGATGATTGAGGGGCAAATAATACGGTCTTCTCACAGATTTGCCCCTCCTCAGAAAGCACACAGTACTAAGGTGGTGAGCCTCCCTTTTGAACTTTAAGCAAAGTTCTGAAGCCCCTTTCCCCCCCCCCCCCATGGTTTTAAACTTTGATTGGTTTTTTGTTTGTTTCCACCATGGTGTTTATGTTTTGGTTCCATTTAAAAGCTCTCGGCTGTATTGTATTTCATTTCATTTTTTTACCGCAAAACACTCTGAGCGTCGAAAAGTGGGGTATAATTGCTTTCACAAGTAACACAACAAAATCTCCTTACTGCTAAGCTGTCAGAAAGAGTGTTTCTAGCTGTCCTTTTACCTGAAATGAAACTCTATACATATTCTGGTAAAGCACATGTAACTGTATAAGGATTGTTATACTGCTAAAAATTGTGGGATGCAGTGGTGTAGCGTGGGGGGTGCAAGGGGGGCCGGCCGCACCAGGCGCAACATCTGGGGTTAGGGCAAATCCACAGGTTAGGGGGCGCAAATCCACGGGTTAGGGGGTGCAAATCGACGGGTTAGGGGGCGCAAATTACTTGCCTTGCCCCGGGTGCTGACAACCCACGCTACGCCACTGGTGGGATGTGCCCAGAGGCAGGAAAGGAAGAAAAAAAAACCACACCCTGTGTTTTGATGATGCTGTTATTGCTAAGATGGCAGACTACAGGGCTGTATGCAGCTAATTCAGGCATCCCCAAACTCAGCCCCCCAGCTGTTTTGGAACTACAGTTCCCATCATCCCTGACCACTGGTCCTGTTAGCTAGAGATGATGGGAGTTGTAGTCCCAAAACAGCTGGGGGGCTGAGTTTGGGGATGCCTGAGCTAATGTGTCCCATCTGTGCAAATTTTTTTCCTGCTTATGTACCAGGACTTTACTCCCTCTCCTCCCACTCCCCACATCTGCTCCAGAGGGTTGGGAAAACCCATGGAACAGATTTAGGATGCACAGGGGAGGAGAGGGGGTGAACATTTTGCTGTGCAAGCAGAAATCTTTGTGCAGAGAGAACATTCACATAGCTCTATCCTGGATACAACTCAATTGTCCTTTACAATAAATGGTTTGAGTTCACGAGTAAGAATTATGGGAAGTTTGAGAATATTGCTGAGCCTGTCACAACATTCATAAATTCTGAGAGCTGGTCCTATACTATGTGCCCCCTGCCTCTCGAATCCTTTTGTCAGGTCATATCACCAGCTCCTCCTCTGTGTTTGTAGACTGGCAGTTGTAGAGATGACAAGGATTTCAAAAGGAAGTATGTTATAGGTTGGTGTAATGTTGCAGCAGGAAGGTAAACAGCGTTTCTGTGGGCTCCGGTTTCCGTCAGTGTTCCATTGCGCCAGAAGCAGTTTAGTCCTGCTGGCCACATGACCTGGAAAACTGTCTGTGGGTGAATGCCGGCTCCCTTGGCCTGAAAGCGAGATGAGCGCTGCAACCCCATAGTCGCCTTTGACTGGACTTAACCGTCCAGGGGTCCTTTACCTTTTACCTTACATCAACATAACTCCCTGTTGTACTTCACCCTTCTTTGGACAATGCAAATAAATGGGTGCTCACAATGGGGTGAGCACAGGAGCCTTGGCGGTTGCAGAGCATAAAGTGAGTAGAATCTCCTCACTCAGAAAAAGACCCCTGACAATTAGGGTGGCCTTATGCCCTACTTTAAAGAGAACGGTCCTCTATTTTGAGGGCTGTCAGGTCATAGAAAGGGAGAGCTTTGAGGAGCTATTGGCAGCTGTGGGTCAGCAGACTGAACAAGTGACCCGAGTCACCTGGTGCCTTCCCCAGTATGGTGGGAAGCATGCACTTCTATTTAAACTATATCAATTATTTCTGAATTTGTGCCTCTACATAAAATTCACCGCATGCCAATTGGTGTCTTCTTTGGTAATGCAAATCTCCTTTCTCGGCAGTGGGTAATTGGCCATGCTACTGTCAGAGGGGATGGATTCTGTGCTTGCTCCAGTTCGCTTCAGTCAGTTGACCTACTGAAGATTAAAACTCCATTTGTCTCAAGGAAATTCACATTGTGCAGAGCGCTCGTTCTTTTCGCGGGCAGCCGCTTGTTCCCTGTGTTGCCGTAGGTCTTGTTCTTTCAGAGCAAATAGTATAAAGTTGGTTTCTGACAGCAGGAGGATATCAACCTATGCATTAAAGACACACACAATCTTACATTTCTTTTCTTTTCTTCTAGAACATCCATACAAATAAGTTTACTATAGATCGCCACAGTGGTGTCCTTCGCATCAAAACCGGGATCACTCTTGACTATGAAAAATCCAGAACTTATTTTGTTACTGTGGTGGCAAAGGTATTTATATATTCTCCTGATCATACTTTTCCAGCTGTGGGGAAAACTGTACAAGGGCAAAGAAAAGCACCCTTGCAGGTGATAGAAATGGTGTGAGATCTAACAGGCCCGAAATAGCTTGTGACATCTAATATTTCTCAACACTGGATCTACAGTACTTCTGCCAGTCTATCAAAGCAATCCTTGAGAAGTCTTGCTGTGATTTCTCCTGGGGTTTACAGTGAAGGACATGGCCCAAGTATCTTTCCGTATTCTTGCCGTGTGAAGTTCTGGAGAAATGGTTTATGGCAGCTGAACATATCCAGCTTTACCATAACAGAGTGAGTGGTATCCTGCAGAGTCTGTGGGTGCAAGGTATCTGTGCACATTTTGAAAGAGATGGTGATGATTGGGCAGGGGTGGACAACTTTTGGTCTTGACAATGTATGGACCTCCCTTATTACAGAACCAGGCCAATGGTCCATTTAGCCCAGACAGGTCCACTTTGTCATTTGAAGGGAGACTGCAATGGAAAAGTGCTGAATTAAAATACACCAAGAGCCTTGGTGTTATCACTTGTGGACAGAACCAAAATATGTGTTAATTCGCTTGCCAATGCCAGGGTGTCTATACCAGGGGTCAGCAACCTTTTTCAGCTGTGGGCCGGTCCACCGTTCCTCAGACCATATGGTGGGCCAGTCTATATATATATATTTGGGGGGGGGATGAACAAATTCCTATGCCCCACAAATAACTCAGAGACGCATTTTAAATAAAACGACACATTCTACTCATGTAAATACAAGCTGATTCCCAGACCGTCCGTGGGCCAAACTGAGAAGGTGATTGGGCCACATCCGGCCCCCGGGCCTTAGGTTGCCTACCCCTGGTCTATACCGTCAACATTTTTTAAAAAAAATTACCACTGCCGTATATATAATTATTGCTGTCTGTACTTTTCTGTATCTTATTTTTCTCTGACTGCACTTCTAAATGCACACACCAACCATATTCCTGAAACTTAGCCTAATGCTAATATAGACCATGAAAACCTATGTCGCATTATTTTCTTTTATTTTTGAAATCACTTTTATTTAGTTTTACAAATACAAAACCCAGATATATATCCATATAGAGAGATTCCTCCGAATCTCAGGACTCCCCCCCCCGCCCCCTCCACGGGGTCCCATTTTGAACATTTACAACTCCATATTCTTCCATACTCTAATTTTTATATCAACCAGTTTTGTCCATTGTAATTGTTACACTACAAGTGAAATAAAAATCCTGCCAATGTTTCCATCTGCTTACAGTGGTCTCCTAAATAACTTATAATTTTTTCCTGTTCTTTTATAAAGTTTTTGTCCTCTTGGTTTCTGAGTTTTCCAGTCAAGTTTTGCTATTTTGGCATAGTCCATCAGCTTGTTTTGCCGTCCTTCTCTGATAGGGACCTTGCTTTCTTTCCATCTCTGAAAACATAGGTCATGCTAAATGTGTATTTATGGTATCACAAGCCCATATATAGTACCATTATATATGTTTCAGTTATCCCACATAAGCTGGAAATATTAAGCGTTGTAACCAGCAGGTCTCTTTGTTGCATTGCAATCCTGTTGTGTAGTCAGGTGTGATCCATTGTTGTGGTTGCCTATTTTTAACTTCAAGTCCAAGAAGAGCTGGTGGGGAGGACCACTACTATGGATCTGGCCTCCTGGCAGCAGTGTTTCTGCCGTGTACTGGGATGGCTGGCTTTGGCCGGGGTGGGCAGGATATAAATAAAATATTATTATTATTATTATTATTATTATTATTATTATTAGTCAGGAGCATAGTTGTGATGGTTCAAGTGCATCAGTGAAGCCAATCTACTGGTCTTGCCTATATGGCCCAAACTTGCTACCTATCCTTGCTGTTCTGGGATAGCTCAGTCAGTAGAGTACGAGACTCTTTAATCTCAGGGTTGTGGATTCGAGCCCCATGTTGAGCAAAAGATTCCTGCATTGCAGAGGGTTGGACGAGACGATCCTTGTGGTCCCTTCCAACTCTACAATTCTATGTGGCAATGTTACCACTGCTGGGAGGCCAGATCTACAACAGCAACCTTCCTCACCATACACTCCTGTTTACTTTAAAAAATATTTGTGAACAATAAACCTACCCTGCACATCTCAGTGTGAAGGCTGGGTTAGACTCCTGTTCCCTGACATCCTACTTTTCTGGGTTCAGGAAGTTTTATACATGAGAGAGAGCATTCAGTCAAAAGGTTCCTCCACCTTCATTCTGAACTTGGACAATCCAAGATGGACTGTTATCTCATTATATTTCTGAATACCATTTCCAAGCTTTTAGTCATCAATCTGTGTGGTGTGGAGGAGGAGGAGGAAATGAAATTGGGGTGTGTGGGGAGAAGAGAGTAATAATTAACTGAAAACAGATTTGTGCAGATCTGTGACTCCTTTGTACAGATGCTTTGTACATTCCAGTGTACAGGCCAATTCCCCTGGCCCAAGAAAGGGTGGAATGGACATAGTGACTATATGAGCTAAAGATTTCGGGGCATAATCTGGTTGTTTGTGTAGATTATCTTTGAAGTTCAAAGCCCTGCTCAGCCATGATGATCACTGGGTGTTGAAAGGCTCCTCCTGGCTACATATGTCAAATTGACTCCTTAATTGCCTATGTTGTGCCTGCAGCTCCAGCAGGAGTCAATTCTCTCATAGTCCATAGAGGCTGTTTGCACTTTGATTATACCATCACAAGGGAGTCTTTAAGGGACTCCAGTCCTCTGATTTTTCCTTCAGAAATAATGTTGCCAAGATCAGTGAGGTCTTACCATCATGTCAAGGCCTGTATTTAAGGCAGTGTTTCCCAACCTTTTTTGGGCAAAGGCACACTTGTTTCATGAAAAAAATCTCGAGGCACACCACCATTACAGCCCCGTGACGTCAGCGCGCAGCGTCACGCCGGGAGGGACATGAATTGCTAGCAAATTACATAATCACCTCCTTGAGGGCTGGCTCATCTTCTCCGAAGGCAGAACCCCATTAATTAACAGCACAGACTCACACCATAGCCAAGACGAGGGGGGAAAACCTCAGTCATGCACAGTCATGCACATGTGGGGGCTAAATGAGGACGAAGACCGGGCAGAGAGCAGGGTTCAAATCACCCCACCTGGCCAGGACAATCCCTGGGTGCTCCCTTGGGCCACTCGCCTGACCCACCTCGCAGGGCTGTTGTTGCGAGGATAACATGGGGAGAACCACTCGCGCCCCCGGGAGCTCCTTGGAGGAGAAAGCGGGCGATGAATGCAATGCACGAAATATATGAGAGGCGACCAGGTTTTGCAGGTGAGGGGCCCCCGCCAGCCTCCGCTTCCAACACCCGGCGCAACGACGCTGAAGTTTTCCTCCGGGCTCGGCTCGGGGAGCAGCGCTGCTCCCCCGGCTCCCCTTCGCCCTCCCGGCTCTCTCTGCCGCCCACTGGGGACCCCCTCACCTGCCAAGTCCGGAGCGCCGGTGGAAGTTGCATGCATGCATGCAGGGCGCCGCGTTGCCATTGCATTGCACTGCACTCCATGCAACACCTGCACGCATGCATTGCCTTGCACGCCCGCCAAGGGGTCTCCCCGCGGTCCGATGCGTCCCCTCCGGCGCGGATGCAGCATTGCAAAAATAAAAAAAAACCCAACGCAGCCCTACCTGGGGGCAGCCTCCGCCTCCGCCGCTCCGCCTCCGCGGGGATCCCCGGGCTCCATCCTGCCGCCCGATCTCCGGGGGGCGCAGGCAGGCTGCGTGGGGTCTGCGCGGAAGAGCCCCTGCCCGCCCGGCCGCCGCCGCCGTGCTCATTCCATGGCCGGGAGAAGAGCGCTTCAAACAAAACGCCTGGCCCGCCAGGCCACGCTGGGAAACGTAGTTTGCGCACCCCGCGCGGGCGCGGAGCCCAAGGGCGAGGGGACTACGGATCCCGGCAGCCCCCGCGCCGGGGACGGAGGGGGAGAGGCCGGGTGCAGGGATGGAGGGACGGGTGGGCGAGCGAGTGAGTGAGTGGCAGCCGCCAAGCCTTGGCCGAGAGCCAGGAAGGGCCTCCCTGGAGGAGGAGGAGGAGGAGAGAGGCGCAGAGCGGGAGGGAGGGAGGGAACCCCAGGGGTCATCTAGTGACGGCGCCCCAATCGAAAATTTGACTTTAAAAAAAATATCTTTCAATTTTTTAATTTTTCCCGCGGCACACCAGGCAACATCTCGCGGCACACTAGTGTGCCGCGGAACAGTGGTTGGGAAACACTGATTTAAGGATTCTGGGTAAATTCAGCCTCTGGTACCCTATAGGAGAGCGGAATTTTCCGACTTAGCTACCCTTTGACCAGTTGAAGCTCAAATCTGCAAACCTTTCAAAGAAAAGCAAACAAAGCATATGTGATGGATTTACCTCGGCTGAGGAACAAACAAGAGCAATTAAAAATAAAGCAAAATTGAGAAATGCGTAGAAGCATTTTGTATATTGCTGGGTTCATATTCCAAATGAGTCATTGAGATATTGCAAATGGGTTGTTGGCAACAAGTGTTTGTTCTTTGCTTATCGTATATTCTGCAGAGAGGATAAATTCAGATGAATGGGGGGGGATACTGGCTGGTAATTTGATACCACTGATATTGTGCTGACACAGCGAAAGGCTTGCATCCATGAGGAGGACTGCAATAAATCCTTGGTCCAGTGACAGTAACTGTTGTCACCTTGGGAGTGGTCCCCGGGGAAAAGCCTCTCTCCTTAGAATCCTGGGGATGTAGAATCTTGGACACTTAAAGCCAGGCCTCCTCAGAAGTAGTTAACAGAAGAAAAGCTGAAAATGAGGGGGGAACTTCCTATGGTTCAGGGAATGAGCCCCATCTATCTGTGCCAGATCAGATATTTCCTATTTCCATCAGTTCTGGTGTACACTTAATTTTCAACATGTCCAGTTAGTCTATTCTACCAGGAGCAGAGCAATTGTCAGGTTTCAGGGACCCTTTTGCCGTAGATAAGCAGGCCAAAGTGAAAAGAGTTGCTTACCATTTAAAGAGTCTTTAACGATCACAGCAAAAGACCAACACAGCCATTCTCGAAATGACGGTGTTTCCAATTAAGGTTTCCACCCACTTCCCCCCTCGTCATTTCTGCGCCTTGCAACCTGATCTTGCAACCATTGTGCCTTTTGTGCAGCCATCTTATCTGCTCTACGTGTCCTTGGACTGATAGGCTGTGCAGTCTCCAGTGAGAGAGAGTCTGTTAGCTCTATTTCTTCCTGTTCTACTTCACTTTGCTGTTCAACCCCCAGTTCGTCCCAACTTTTGTCTTCAGAACTATGCCCCTCTCAGCGGCGTAGCGTGGGTTGTCAGCACCCGGGGCAAGGCAAGTAATTTGCGCCCCCTAACCCGTGGATTTGCGCCCCCTAACCTGTGGATTTGCCCTAACCCCAGATGTTGCGCCCGGTGCGGCTGGCACCCCCTGCACCCCCACGCTACGCCACTGGCCCCTCTGCAAACCACTGTTCCAAATCTATTCTGTCCTCCTGTTCCTGGGTAGCTTCAGGATCCTGATCAGGCACAGGGGGAGGGGGAGGCTCCCACCATTCCTCATCAGAGCTGTACTTCTCAGCCTGGTCTCTCACTCCAAATGTGTGGAGTGCATGCTTTTTTGTGAAATGCAAAGGGATCCTAAGATCTTGGAACTGTTTTACATCCTAGGATGGCGGCGGCAAGCTCCGTGGCAACAACAAGGTGTTCTCAGCCACAACCACTGTCACAATCAATGTGGAAGATGTTCAGGACACACCTCCGATGTTTGTCGGCACTCCCTACTATGGATATGTCTATGAGGACACTCTGGCCGTGAGTATCATTTCTTGTGCACCCTGCTAAAATGATGCAGCTTCTGCAACAAATAACTGGAGGGGGGAGGATGCAAAGTGCACATGTGCAAGGTGATTGCTGATTTCCTTTCTGACAGTGAGTAGCCCTTTGCTCCTCACAAAATGCTCAAGGTCCCCGGACCTGAAGGGGTCACTTTTCAGGGGAGTTGTCAGAAACTGGGCAGAGGAAGAATGGTGGAGACTGCCTCCCCAGCCTGACCCTTCGAGAGGAGAAGAAGACAGTTCAGAATTACAACAGGGGTTTGAGGGAGGTCACAGCTCAGAGGCAGATGAGGGGGAAAGCTGGAAAATAATGGGAGAGGAGGAGGAAGAAGCACCAGAGGGGGGACAGCTGACAGACACAGTGTCTTTAGAAAGCATTCCAGAACCCCCCTTTCCCAGAACCCGGCAAGCATTGAAAGTAGGAGAACAAAGAGCTCAAAGGCAAAGGACACTTTTCAGCACCCGTGGTGAGGATGCATGAGGAAGTGGGAGAGATGGAGGGGGTGGAGACTCACTCAGAGCAATGCCATTATTCTGAGAGGCTGCATTCCAAGCCTCTCTCTGGGAATATTAAATAAAAAGCAGATGGTAAGGACTTTTCCTTGTCTCATCCATTCCTGGCAACCTGCTGTGGGGGTTGGCTCCTCTGATGCCTGACAGGAGTGTGGGCAGCTCCTGCTTCAAGAGGAGGCTGAAACAAGAAAGAAGATTCCACCTAAACATTAGGAAGAACTTCCTGACATTAAGAGCTGTTCAACAGTGGAATTTGCTGCCAAGGAGTGTGGTGGAGTCTCCTTCTTTGGAGGTCTTTAAGCAGAGGCTTGACAACCATATGTCAGGAGTGCTCTGATGGTGTTTCCTGCTTGGCAGGGGGTTGGACTCGATGGCCCTTGTGGTCTATTCCAACTCTATGATTCTATGATTCTATGAAATATCCTTTCACCCCACTTCACGCGCAGTGGATTGTAAGTGCACCCTTGGATTACGCTTGATGCTCAGAATTAATCAATTAAAATCAGATCATCTTGAAACTGCATCAAGTTTTCCAAGTGTTTTTGGAAAGACGGTAGGCAGAAAGGAGGTGAACAAAGAGAGAGTGTTGAAGCAGACTGGGGGGAAACACGTACCATAAATGGCTTAGCAGAAGTATTGCTTAGACAAGCCATGTTCTTACAGAATTAATTTATGATGCTCAGATATAACGAAGGGTTGTAGCATGATTATATGCACACGTTGTCCCCAGCTATTTGACTTTGCCAAATGGTAAGGCCAAGCCTTAATGTCCAAATTGAACTTACATAGTACATCCACTTGCATTTTCAACCTCGGCAGAAATCCAACTTCAACCTGCAGGTTTGGTTAATCCTGGTTTAGCTTGTGCAAGTGGATATAAAATTCTCCAGAGCTGAAGCGAGCTCATAGTTTAGCTCTGTGGTGCTGCAACTTGCTGTTCAAACCATGTTTATGGAGGCTTCCACCTCCACGATCTGCAGTTATTTCTGTCGACACTGGTACCATATTTCACTGCCCATATTGTTGTAGCCTGCCCAGTTAGAGGGCAGGAGAGAATGATTTTGGGGAATACTGGAGGTGTTTTTCATGCACTTCATAATCCTTGGCAATAAGAGGTGCTATAAAGCTGTGAAACATAATAATTTACTTTGTGCTGCTATTAACCAATGATCTGGAAATGCCTATAATTATTAAATACGCCGAGTTGTGTGTGTTTTTATGGAGCTCACAGAGGAAATCAGGGATAATTAAGCATTAATCACCACCACTGTGAGCCCCATAACCAAAAATATTATCATATTATAATGATGGAAAAACTCACCTCTTTCCCTGCTTAGTATGTCAGAAACTCCATGTAGTAAAATGCTCTTTCCAGGTTTACTATTATTTACACATGCAGTTGTTGCCCATTAAACTTGCAAAGGGAGTGGATTTTCAGGTCGAACGTTCTTTTCTCTTTTTTAGCATATTGCTTTCTTAGCTATTGAAGAGGATTTCTTCCTAAAGCGCTTTTCAAAGCTCCGCAATTCGCCCCCCCCCCCAAAGCTTTCCAAACAATTGCAGAAGGATGTGTCTCGCTCATTAGAGTCCAAGGCAACTCTGAGATGTGGTCAACCCCTCCCATCACTGAGCAAAAAGTTGCTGGTCCTTCCACCAAAGATATCGAAGCTCCTTGATTTGTTTTCAGCTGCTTGAACTTGGTCTTGCCGTGTTCTCTGTTAAAATACGCCATTTAAAAATATAGAAAAGTTATTCTCTCAGCAGAACTACAAATACAGAACAGGACCTTTAGTTCCCCTCTCTTTAATCATTTACCATATCATGCCAGTGAGCTTGTGTTTGGCAAGGCTGTCTGCAAGTAGAGTGCTCAGTTTATATTGTGTTGCCTGTCTACATGGGAGAGAGCTGATGCATTAGGTTGGCTTGGAGTTATATTTTACAGCAGTTTTACCTCCCTGTGCTTCCTGTTTTCTTTTCCTCTTTCTCTCTCTCTCTCTCCAGGGTTCTGAGGTAATAACGGTCGTTGCTATTGATGGGGACCGAGGGAAGCCTAATGACATTCATTACCGTCTTTTGAATGGTAAGTTTACTGGGTTGGTTTGAAATCCTAAAGGAATACCTAAAGCCATCGAACTCACTGTTTAGTTATGGTTTCATATATGCAAGGAAGCCTATCCGATGTAAAAGAACAGGTATACTTAACATTGCTTTGGTTTGCTGTAAAGCTTATTTATTTATTTTATATACTGCCCAATACCCGGAGGTCTCAGGCCGGTTCACAGAACAAATCAAAATATAAAACCACAAAATATGTAATCAAAATAGATATTTGCTCTCACTGTGTCTTAAGAAGGCACAGGGAGGTTCTAGGAGATTTAAAAGCTTCTCCCAACATGGTGCCCTTCTGACTACAACTCCCTTCAGCTCCATGGTCAGGGATAATAGGAGTTGTACACATCGAGAATGGGCATATTGGCCTCCATGGGACTCAGCTATAAAACTGCAAATGAAACATTTAAAATGTGTTGTAAAGTGCAATATACAAATGCGACTCTAGATGGCAATGGTGAGCTATGCCAAATCCGATGTGTTTTTCAAAACTTTTTGGGGGGTAAGCATTTTCACAGCAGTTGTTGTTTTTTTTTAATGTGTGTGTAGATTCCACCCATGTCTTCCTGTGTGTTGGCAGGCCTGTTTCTTCTCTTTTAATGAACTGCATTTGCTTATGAGGATTGTGATGATGAGTGAACCAATTTAAGCCACTGGGCAGGATTGCCGGTTGGCCGAGACTGTTGCAGGGGTGATGCTTGAGAGCCGAGGGCCGGTTTGTGACAGATCATGGGGAGTACAATTGGATGAGATAAGATCTGGGTCTAGCAGTTCTTAGTGGAGACAGAATGCCAGGCAAGGGAAAAACATGAAGTCGCAGTGGAGCACAGTCCCAGATGACAAAGGTTTTCAGTCCAGATGAACTAGCCTGCTTCCTTAACTCTGGCCCCTCCACACAGAGACTATGTTTCTACTTTTACCCTTGACAGCCAAGCTAGATTAAATCCATATGACTGTCTTGATTTTTGTTTTTAACTTAAAACTCTGTTAATTCAATCAGGGCAGTTTTGTTGGGAGGAGTTAGTCTATTATTTGAAGCTGCTATTAGTGGTGGGATTGTGGGGGCGGGGGGGGCGGGGAGAGCCAAGTAGAGCATGGCATTATCTGCAGAATATTTACCCTCAAACTAAGGATTATTTCACACATAACTTCTATCTTCATATTGGGAAAAGGACGCATTTTGTAATGTCAAGTACCTGGTGTGTGAAGGAGGATATTGAGAGTGCCTTTTTTACCTGGAATCCTCCTAACTGGACCTTGGGGAGATAGCACAACCTGGCTAGCTCAGACTACAACAAGTGATGGCAGCAGACTCTTGTTAGTTTAAGTACCTGCCCGCCCCAATCATGATAATAATAATAATAATAATAATAATAATAATAATAATAATAATAATTTATTTATACCCCACCCATTTGGCTGAGTTTCCCCAGCCACTCTGGGCGGCTCCCAATCGAGTGTTAAAAACAATACAGCATTAAATATTAAAAACATCCCCAAACGGGGCTGCCTTCAGATGTCTTTTAAAAATAAGATAGCTGTTTATTTCCTTGACATCTGATGGGTGTTCCACAGGGCAGGCGCCACTACCAAGAAGGCCCTCTGTCTGGTTCCCTGTAACCTCACTTCTCGCAGGGAGGGAACAACCAGAATGCCCTCGGCACTGGATCTCAGTGTCCAGGCTGAACAATGGGAGTGGAGACGCTCCTTCACGTATACAGGACTGGGGCCATATAAAAAAGGCCATATAAAAGCGGAAGTTGTGGAGAGAAAGGGGGAATACAAGTGAGAATGTAGCACCCTGCTTGTGGTTAACGCTTAGCTGGAATGAAATATTCAACGCAGCAACAGAGAAATTAAATAATAATTTATTTGTCAGACAAATAAATGAGAGGCACAGTGGTATATGATTACCAAGCTCTGGCCTGCCTCCTGCCATTATGGCCAGCACTTATATTCCCTTAATCCAGCCCCCTTTGCTCCTCCTTGGGCTGCCTCTGTCCCATCAGCCTGGTTGAAATTCCTATTGGCTGATTAGTATAACCAATCACAAAAAATACACTCATATCCTCCTGTCCTTATAAGGGAGACAAAGAGCTATATATAAATGACAAATAAGTAATAATATATCTTACATGGAATCTTAATTACCAGCTCACCTCTTGCCCTATTGCCTTCTAAAACAAATGGTTAATCTTAAATTTTTATCTTAAACATATGTCAAGGATCTTGAGTTTCACATCAATATTGAAAGATCTCCTTCATTTGAAGGTTTCTAAACAAATATCTGACAACTTATATATCAGAAATTGCTCGGATGGCGTCTTCTTGTCTGGCAGGGGGCTGGACTCATCTGCCCCCTGGTCTCCTACAGCAATATGACTCTATGAAATAAGAATTTAACATTCTTTCTTCTAGATCCTTTGCATAATTACATTTAAGCCAGGATATTTCATACACTATCATAGATAGCTTTTAGAAGGATAAACTTCCTAAAAGTAACAAGGAAGGAACAGTTTACAGCCTCAAAATAAAATAGGAAAAAAACCTCTTCCCCTCTTCACACTTCCCCCCCTTCTCCAGCCGGTTTGTTTTCCGTGTGCCCTTGACCTTTTGTCCTGTGGCTCAAGTTTAAGAGAGGCCCATGGTTTTATTTTACTGTTTACCTACC